TTCTCGCATGAGTGAAGACCATCAATTTAGATAAGATACTGAAAGGTAAACAAATGCAAAGTGCAAAGATCGCATCAAAGCAAAGAAAAAATCAAATAAAGAAAAAGCAAAGAAAAAGAAAAACATATAAAAAAGACGACAATAAGCACATGCAAATATTCTCTCGAGTTAAATGGCGTATCAAGCTTCAAGCCACAAGATTGATCAAGCACAATCATTCCAAAATCAATTCACCAGAAGATCATGAAACATCAAGAGAAAATATAAGACACATACGAGCAGATTCAAATCGAGCAAGACAAGATTGAAGGCATCAGAATGAATTGATTATTGGTTCAGTCACCCTTAAACACTTGTTTGGGCCTATTTATCCCTTTCTTTCATAACCCTAAACCATAGCCTACATTACGTGCCTAAAAAGTCCCTTCTAATCATACATGGATTTCTAAATAGAAAAGAATATTTACAGATTTCATCCCGCCCATCAGGATTAATCTTTTATTTACAAAAAAGGTTTTTTGAAATCTTTAATGTATGATAGAGAAAAAATAAAAAAAGGGGGTTCAAGATATAAATTTTGAATAACGTCTTGAAACCAAAGGAAGATTCGAGTTAAAAACCTAAAAAGGCGACTCAAATATGAAGACTGTGCAACTATTCCATAGGAGGCAATCGCACAAATCCCTTGATAATGCATCGCACAACCCAAATGTGATCATGAGAGTTGGGAGTCGAATAACACTTCCAGTAGATGAGCATACAAGCTACCGCATCAGATCAGTGACCATAAAAAAAAACAAGAATGCCAAACATTTGACCAAAGACAATAACCTAAGACTTTTTATCCTTTCCTTGCTTAACCATACCTCAAAGATAACATTAATCTTGACACTTATCAAATGACTATAATTTATTGAAGGATTAAAAGTGTAATTAATTCTTTGATATCCAATGAACTCTTGTTTTATGATTTGTCTCAATTGTGAAACTTAGAAAGGGGCAATATTTTCAAACTTTTGATTAAACATTTTTCAACATCCTTTAATTGATATTTTCAAACTTTTGAAATTAAAAGAAGAAGAAAAACGTTTTTCAAACAAGACAATCTCTCTGGAGTGGATCTTGGTAGTTGACATGTGGCTTTCAGACACAAAGCTCATGCTTAGAATCAGTGCTGAAGCAAGAAATAATGAATGATGGGGCATATTTGGAGATTTAACATCGAATGTTGTGGCATCTTTGGAGATTAAACATCAAATGTTGGGGAATCTTTGGAGATTCAACATTCTGAAGTGAATGATCAGATCTTCTGAAAGCCTTTCCTCCACATGGAGGAACAAGTAGACTATCGATCGCCTTTGAGATTATTTCTCTCGAAACAAAAGGTCGTCTCACTTGAGACAAGTTTTCTTAAAAACAAAATTTAGTCTTGCTTGAGATAGTTTTCTGAAAACAAATTTTGTCTCACTTGAGACAATTTATCTTAAAACCAATTTCGTCTCGCTTGAGACATTTTTCTTTTGAGATACAAATTTTGAGTTTGTTTCACTTGAAACAAAGTTGATCTCACTTGAGATTGTTTTTCTTAAAACAAACTTTGTCTCACTTGAGATAGTCTTCCTTAAGACAAACTTTGAAATTGTTTTTCTTGAAACAAAGTTTTGTCTCCCTTGAGATGGTTTCCCTTGAAACAAAACAAACATCTTAGAGATCATTTCACTTAAAATGAATTTTATCTCTCTTGAGATAATTTCTCTTAAAACACCCATCTTTTTTTAGTATGTTTCTCTTGAAACAAAAAAAAAAATCTTTGATATTGTTTTTCTTGAAACGAATTTTGTCTCTCTTGAGACATTTTCTCTTAAAACACAAATATTTGAGTTTGTGAAACAAATCCTTAAAGATGGCATGTTGTCCTCATCGTGTAGGAACCGTGTCATCCACCGACCATACCTCCTCATCACGTAAGAGCCGTATCACCCCCTAGATAACCAGTCGTCCTCATCACGTAGAAATCGTGTTATCATCCATAAAGATGGCCTGCCATCCTCATCACGTAGGAACCGTGTCATCCACCAACCAAACCTCCTCATCACGTAAGAGACGTGTCACTCCTAGATAACCAGCCATTCTCATCGCGTAGGAACTGTGTTATCACCCTTCCTAAAGATAGCCAGGCGTCCTTATCGCGTAGGAACCGTGTTATCCACCAACCAGATCTCCTTATCACGTAGGAGTCGTGTCACCCTTAGATGACCAGAACTCTTCATCACGTATGAGCAATGTCGTCCCCAACAAGAAACATATCAAATTTTAAAGCACAAAAAAATAGAACTGAACAAAAGCTAGTTGTGTTTTTCATCTTTGCCCTATTCTTGTTAACACAAGAATGTGTAAAGAGGGGCAGCTGTAGACACCCGTTTTTATCCAGGCCTAAATTATTATTATTATTATTTACATGTTACATGTTTTATATAGGCCCATTAATAAACCCGGAGCCCACAAAGATAACACCCAGAGGCCCATCATCAACCTAGTAGCCCAATTACAACATCAAACCCAAGCTAACCCGATCCAGCCCATATGTGAACTCGACCCGCTAGGGTTTCCATCTTCAGCTCCAGCCGCCCCAAATCTTCAGCCATTGGATCTAATTGAGATCTAACGACCCATAAGTATCTAGGGATTAGGGTTTTCTAACCCTGATATATCAACATCAGGCGCCGCCAACACTAGCTCAGCAACAGTTGCTAAAGCCGAACCTCTCCCACGCCGACCGCCTCTAACGTCGCTGTCGACAAATTTGACCAAACAGTGACATAACAAGCACCCATCAATCACAGAGCAAGCAAATCAACTCAAAATCATAAAAACCCAATAAATAATAAAAAAATATCTAAATGATATCCTAAGGTACATCTAGCCTCTATCGACCCTATTTTCTCAGGCTGCAAACTCATCAATCACGGAAGTAAGATAAAAACGAAGAAAGAAAGAAAGAAAGAGGGAGGAGAGAAGAAAAATCGGGGGAAGGGAGATTCGAACAGAACAAAAAAAGAGGGAAAAAGCCCTAGAAAAACCAAATAATATTAGCCTATTCAAACCCAAAAAAGAAAAAAAAGGAAAGAAAATAACAAAGAAATAGAAGACAACTTACCTCCGTTCGAAGCATCGAGAAGCTGAAAAGTCGCTGGGGCTCTAAATTTTTGAAAGGTAACGTCTAGATCTAGGGGTTTAGGGTGAGATCTAAGTTAAAAAGGGGTGGTTTTCGGATTGAAGAGGCTGAGGGAACCATTTGGGGTAGTTTGCTCTCTCCGACCATCATCGGTCGCCGTCAGTACCACTTTGAACACCACCGAAGGTTGCGATTGATACCTTCCCTGATGAGAGAGTTCTCTATCTCCCTCTCTTTGGTTTTTCTAAAACAAAAAAATAAAGAAGGGTTGGGGAAGAAAGCCTTATTTTGGGTTTATATTATATGTTCGAAATGACGTAGTTTTGATAAGGGGTCCCCGTGCTTTGTAATCTCACGATTTGGGCCATGGAATGAAGTTTACATTGTTTTGTTCTGAGCCTTTATCTTTCCACGTTTATAGTTTAGTCACTATCATATATATTATACTATTTTCATTTATGTTCGATTCTGGGTGTAATATATACAAATATTTCATTTCAATCACTATTTTGTGTATGACTACTCTTTGGTATAATTCTTATTTACCCTTTTTAATTTACGTTTCATTCTATTTTACTCCCGAATAAAATTTGTGGGTATTGTGTTCCTAATGCTTTATTGTATATGATTTACATTTTACACCAGAATTCTTACTTTGTTTACATTTGTGCCAAGAAAATTGTTGTCCTTATGATTTAGTCCCTATTTTTATTTAGTTTTATTATGGTTCTTACTATTCTGCTTTTAATTTAATCCTTGTATAATTTGATTTATATTTCTTATCATTTTTATCATGTATGTATATTTGTATATGTTTTTATGTAAGTATAAATTTATATATCATATTATATATGTATATATGTATTAAATGTTTCTTGACCCTATATATTTTTATGTATATATTATTATTTTTCCTTTTATTTTGTTCGGTATTGTTCATTTATTTTAATTTATAAATTGTCCACTTATCAATATTTCACTTAACAATAATAAATTTTGAATATATTATTCGAATATTTCAAGAACTGATTTGTAGAAGGAGCGTGAAAAGTATCATTTAGTCGAAGTGATGCGATCCGATACCGCATTTTAATGAAATGGGAACTTGAAATAAATCTCATTTATTTTACTAATCAATTTTTTTTTATTTCAAATAATGCGATGTATTTTTCTTAAAATGGTAATTTACGTTATTTTACGCAAACGCCAATTTTCAGTTTACATTCAAGTTGTGTTTTTTTTATAACAATGGTGAGGGGAAATATTTCTTGTGTAAAGGAGAAATAGACGATATAGCCTTCCCATTGGAGGATGTGCAAATATAGTTATTTCCTCTTGATTTAAGGAATGCTTACTAACAATTAATTCAAAGCAAATTATTTAATCTTCAATAAATGAATCATATTCTAACTTTATATTTGGTTTATACTCTCCACCATTCGCGACAACGTGTAAGCAACACATTAACAATTTTGGTAAACGCATACCGAATTTTGTCTTTAAAAACGACTTTTCCTTGAAATCGTTTTTAAAATTCGTTTTAAGGCATTCGACCTACCTATCTCAAACGCCGATGGCGACTCTGATCAAATTTAATCCAAATTAATTCCAAATTACCAATTTTTTAAAATAAAAATCATAATTATTTTTTAAAAATAATATTTAATTATTTTAAAAAAATGGTTATGACAGATATTGCTTCCGCGAATAGCAACATGTCATCAACAAAAGAAGATGTGTGATTATCAATCCATTGCGAACTAGCTGCATTGGTTTCTACTCATGATCTGCTACGCTCTTTTGACTAGCTCATGCTAAGCTCTCCATGGAAAGTACAAAAAGGTATATAGAGAGAGGGTCCACCTGGCAGATACCCCTTGTTGGCCGAAAAGGTTCCGATGCCGTTATGCAGGGCCGGCCCAATACATGTGCCATATGGGCCTTCGCCCAGGGCATCATGTTTGAGCTGCATGTTTGAGGGGCATCAGTCCTTATCATTTCTTATGGTATATACAATAGCGAAGGTGCCGCGGAGGAGCGATTGAGGGAAGCAATAGAGGAGCTCCATAGGAGTCAGAGGACGGTGGCGAGTGGCGACAACCCCCCGTGCGACCATGCTGATAACTCCTACGTGGCCAACGCCATTGGCAATCTTTGCCAAACTTTTCTCCTTTCTTATGGTGTTAGAGTGGGCATCGGGATTCTTCTCCGCGCTTTCAAGCTCGCCAGAAGACAGTATTATTCTTCGCTTCTTGATCTCAAAGTTAGGGTTTTAACCTTCCAAACACTCTTAATGAACGAGTAAAATGAACTATTTTTTTCAAAAGAGAACAAAAAAAAGCTGATGAGATTAGATGACTGGTTGGCAAATTTGCTGTGATTTTGTAATTCATTATTTGGGTTTGCTAGGAATTATTGTGTAAGAATATGCATAAAATTGATATTAACAATGTTTGAATGTATAAATTTGTTCATCAGCAACTTGTCTCGGAGAAAGATTTGATTGTGAGAGAGGAAGCATGCCGCATTGGTTTACTTTTTGGAGGTTTCACAGGGTCATACCATTTGCTTAGATGTTTATTAAGGAAGCTGAGAAAGAAAGAGACACCAGTGAATGCGTAAGTTCGCTATATAAGGCCTTACTTTGGCTTTTTTTGTCTTGTTTTTAAGTGGTTGGTTCCTAAGAGATTCATATCTAATTGTGGCTTGTGATAAATGCTTATTTGAATATTTGAAGTCTTTTGATGCTTGCTAGAACAATATTCTTTTATTTGACATTGTTTTAGGTTATGCTGGAACAGACTTTTAGCAGGTTCAATTGCAGGGTTGTCTATTTTGGCTTTGGATGATTCAAGCCGAAGACGTACTCTTGCACTGTATCTTTTGGCTAGATTAGCCCAGGTACATGAAAGCTTTTAGACTTGCAAAGATTTGAGATCATGGATTCCACCTCTCTATTTGCACTCTAATATTTTGCTTTAATCTTCAGTGTGCTTACAATTCTGCAAAGTCGAAAAATAGATTTCACTTTTGGGGAAGTCATTGGAAGCATGGTGACTCTCTGCACTTTTCTTTAGCATGTGCCCAGGTAATGTAAAGCTCAATTTGTTATTTTATCTGTATACACCAATTTGATGATAGTGGAACATTCAAAACACTAGAAATTGTTTAGTTTGGCCCAATACATGTGCCAGATGGGCATTATCCTTCTCTATTATATATATATATATATATATATATATATTTGGCCCCAAAAAAAATAGCCCAAAACACCTGATCGGTCGATGGTAGGGGCATCGTTTTAGGTGATATTTGTAGCCTTGTAGGTTTGGGTTTGTATTAGTATTGATTATGTTTGACTATAATTTCTATTATATTTTTATTTTAAAAAAAATAGTTATGTTTTGTCTATTATACGGTACAAGTATAGGGGTATAAAATTATTATCTCGCCCAGGGCATTAAAACTCATTGGACCGGCCCTGCCGTTATGTTCCATAATATCTATGTCGAGATCGACGAGACACATTACATGATTAAGTGCTTTAGTCTTTCTGATATTCTTATGATTAAGTGCTTAAGTCTTTCTGATATTCTTATGTCTTTGAGAGTATCTTCTATGAACGACTATTCGAGTCGATATTATGTCTTTTTAAGATCGATTTCGATTGTCATGTATCCTTTTTCCTTTGTTTCTTTCGCATAGAATGCATCACCTCTTGGGCCATGATAATGTTCTCATTAATCAATCTTTCGGAACGAAGCTCGTTTGATTTTGAGAGATCCAATGAGGAAGGGAAGGCTTTAACCGGTTGATTATGATCTTTGTCACAGCTTTATGTAGGTCTAAGCAAAGGCTAATCGATTTAAATTGAATGATTAATTCAAGAGCTTTGGAATGAGTACAATTAGGGTCTGGTTCGGAGCTTCCTCGAAAGTTCATTTTGCGAAAATCTCCCTCACGAATTTGCATACGCTTCCCCCCAAAGTTGTCCAATTACGTTGATAAAAGAGAATGGAATCCATCAGCTCCCAGGACCTTCAAAGGGTTCATGTCAAACACTACTTGTTTGATCTCATTTTCAATGATCTGCTAAATGGTTTCTTCTAATGATGTCGTTTCAATAAGAGGAAAACATCCTTTGATTCTATAACCATGTCCATCAACTTTGGAACATGAGAACAAAACTTTGTAGAACTCTACTATCATTGTCCTTAGCTGCTCTTGGTTAAAGCATCAACTTCCATCTTGTAGCTTAAGAGCTTGGATATAGTTGGCTCTCCTACGTTGCATGGTACATGCATGGAAGAACCTCATGTTTTGGTCCCTGTTGTCTCAATTTCTGCTTTCAAAGACTCCTATTGTGCAAGTACTTCATCTATTTCTATTCGTAGTTTCGAATCCAATTGAGGGAAATGGTCCGAGTTAGTCCTCTTGAATGCTCTATATATACCTTTGATTCGTGCTATTAATTAAGGTTTTTTTCTTGTGTCCAAATACTGCTTTATTCCAGTCACCAACTTTCAGTTTGAAGGACTCGATTTTGTTAGCATATCCTGGTCAGAGTTCCACGATTCTCGCACAAAATCGGAGAAGTTCAGATGCTCTTCCATTCGACAATGAATCGAAATGGCCTGTCCAAATTATGATCTCTCAGTTTCAGTGTACGGAATAACAAAGGGCAGTTATCCGATCCTATTCAGCCAAGATGCGTAACAAGTGACATAGGAAAAATAGAGGCCCATCTCTCATTGAATAAACAACGATCTAGCCTTTTCTAGAGACTCCCACATTTCCAAGTAAACTTATCTCCTCTGAATTCAACTTTCATGAGCTTTGTGTCAAAAATGAAATCTTAAAAACCCTTGCTCACTCCATTTCCTTGCCTTGACCCTTCATTCCTTTCCTCATGCTGGATTATTGCATTAAAATCACCTCCCAGTAGCCAAGCTTCACTACTTCCTGGGTTTAAATTAGTCAACATGTTCCACACCTCTTTATGTATCGTTGCATTAGGGCTGGCATAGACAACCGTAGAAAAAGTCACCTTGATGATCATTCTTCTCGTGCTCGACCATGCACGAACTGGTTTGAAATTTTTAGAATCTCTTTCCACATAATCCAAATGCCTCCACTAAATCCATTAGCTTCGACTCTGAATGAGTTTGGTAGCCCATGCTGGAGATAACTTTGTCAGAATTTTCACCACTGATCCTAGTCTCCAAAATTGCTGCCACCTTTGGATGATGTTGTCTGCAAATGTCTTTAAAATGCCTCCGGATAGTGGGGCTGGCCACCCCTTGACAGTTCCAAAAAAAAAAATCATTAACAATATGTGTCGAGTTCGAGTAACCTTACTAATTCAAGGTGATGCCAGAGGCCTCTTGAATCTGAACGTTAATCAAACAATCCCGGTTTTCCATGCTTGCAATGACTTTCTTTAGCATATCATTATTCTTTTGTTTCGTAACAGCAGTCTCAACCCTTGCGTTTTGTGCCAGTATTTCACTAGGGTCTTTAATTAAGATAGTGGAATCAATATATTGGTCAAGAGATTGAATCCACTCCAAAAGGACGACTTTTGAGGGGCCACTACTGTCCGTTTTTTCCACTTATAAGTCCCCTCTCTGTAAGGTAGGTCCTGTTTTAGCTCCGCCTCCTTGTTTCCCTTCCCCATACATATTATTCCTATGCAATTTCGCCTTTCCATCCTCTATGACAGCCACTGTCGAGAGTTTTCCTTTCCCAACATTGGATTTATGAGTTGTTACTACATCCTCAGCTCTACCAGGAATCATGACTTCAGGAGATCCTGAACTGGTAGTAATATGTTTATGTTTACTAGGGCTAACCGGAAGAGCAGTTCCTTTGGATTCAGTCATTCTCGTTTGTTTATTCTTGTTATTGTTCCCTATGTGGACCTAACAAGGCATAACCCCCTTTCCTTTCGCCGAGTATGCTCCGCAGATGCTACTTGTCTCTCCTGGCCATGATCGAGTGCCTCCTCTTGTACTTTATTAGTCTTGACTTCCTCAAGGGCCTAGAAATGGGACCCATGGCTGTTACCTTTGAATGTATGTTCTGGTTAGGTGTCTCCTGCATAGGGGTGGCAATGCGACGGGATAGAGACGATTTTGCATTATCTATTCCGTCCCCAATACTTACGGGTACAGTTTTGGTGAATTTATATTATGTTTTGGGGATTTTTTTTGTCCACATATACATCCTTACGAATTCCTGCGGATTTCGGTTAATCCTCATCCCAAAAAGTAAAAAATTATTTTTGAAATCAATGCAATACCTAAAACTTATAAGATATATCATATTGTCTCAAATTGGACTCTATCTATAATATGAAAGTTTCAAACGTTATTATTCATCTAACACCCAATGTACATGTATAATCTTAACCATTTTCAATCTCAACAAATCAAATGCAATCTCACAAATATTTTTCAAGGATCCCCACAGTTATTTTTGTAAAATATTAGGGATCCCTGCGATTATTTTTAGGGATCCCCACAGTTATTCACACGGGTACGATTTGGTTAACCCATGGTTCGGATATAGCAATCCCTTCCCCCATCCCATTTGAGCTAACTTCCCCCATCCCAATCCCCGTGGGTGAAGATTTCGATTATTTCTCATCCCCGTTGGTTCGGATCGCCACAGTTTTCGGTTTTTCCTCACCCAATTGCCACCCCTACTCCTGCAGCCGATGAGCAGATTTTTTTGGCACTGTACATGGTTTTATTTTTATTTCTTTTTTAGTAATTTCTATAGATAGTGAAATAGGAATTAATTTCTTTATGTGATTTTATCATTAAATTTGTAGACACCTATTTTCGTCCGAGACTTCAAGGGGCTTATTTAGTATATATGATAATATATATAATAATTTCAAAAATATACAATATATAGTTTTTGAAGTATATAGAATAGCTTTTGAAAATATTTTTGAAAACATATAATATATAGTTTAAAAACGGTTTTGAAAATATATAACATATAGTTTTTACGGTTTTTGAAAACATATAATATATAGCTTTTTAAAAAACGGTTTTTGAAAACGAATATAATATAATTTTGAAAATATATTTTGAAAACATATATATATATATATATATATATATATATATATAGTTTTTAAAACGGTTTTTGAAAACATGTATAATATATATAACTTTTGGAAACATATTATATAGTTTTTGAAAATATAATATGTTATATAGTTTTTAAATAAATATATAGTACATATTATATTATATATTATTTATAGTATTATTTATTATTTTTAATATTATTTTTCGGTTTATTCTTTAGGTCCAATTTCAAATTAAATCCAAATCCAAAGATCAGGTCCAACAATGAAGCCCAATCGGGTCTGCCATCCTGATCCAACAAGTAAATCCGGTGGGAGCCCAACAAATGAAGCCTAATAACCTCACCCAACATATTAGGGTTCCAATGTTTAGCACCAGTGCTGCACAATCAGGGCGTTGGATCTGGCCTTTTGATCCAACGACCGAAAATACACTATACCACCAATCAACGGTGCATGGAAGTCACGCGCCAGCAAGACCCCCAAACTATCAAAATTTTCGGACTGAAATAGAAGCAAATGGGAAAATATTTCCCCGATTTTCCGGTTAACTTCAACAACAAAATGCGAACGAGCAAAATCCCCAACGCCCATCCCACTATAATCGGAAACAATCCCGTCGAAGGGGCTATATATACGACGAAGAGAAATCCACCAAGAACACACAGAAAAATCGAAAGAAAAACAATGCAATCAAATCGGCAAGAAACAATAGACACCCAAAAGCACCAAACATTTTCGCATACTACAAAATAAAAGACAAAAAAAAAGCTCAACCTCGGATATTTGCTCGAAGGGGGAAGGAATCACCGGAACTCGAAGGGACACCGGTCTCAAGGTAAAAGATTCGAACCTTTAAAGTTAGATCTACGCTTCTAGGGTCCTTTTTTAGGATGAATGGCATTGATTTCGTGTTTATCGAATCGGGGAGAACATTTTGGTGAGTTTGATTTTTTTTTCAGCCACCGGTGGTGGTGGCTGAAGCGGCAGTCAGTGGTGGCGTCATCACCGGGGGGGGGACACTTGGTCAAATGAGGGAGAGGGTTGAGAGAGTTGAGAGAAGGCTT